AGGCGGCGGCCGCCAGCGCCCAGCACAGCCTCTTCGCCTCCGCCGCCGGCAGCTTCGCCGGACCCCACGGCCACACGGACGCCGCAGGACACATATTGTTCCCGGGGCTGCACGAGCAAGCCACCAGCCACGCTTCGCCCAACGTGGTGAACGGGCAGATGCGCCTGGGTTTCTCCGGAGACATGTACGGCAGACCCGACCAGTACGGCCAGGTCACCAGCCCCCGCTCCGAGCACTACGCGTCGACCCAGCTGCACGGCTACGGCCACATGAACATGAACATGGCACCCAACGTGGTGAACGGGCAGATGCGCCTGGGTTTCTCCGGAGACATGTACGGCAGACCCGACCAGTACGGCCAGGTCACCAGCCCCCGCTCCGAGCACTACGCGTCGACCCAGCTGCACGGCTACGGCCACATGAACATGAACATGGCAGCCCACCACGGGGCAGGGGCCTTCTTTCGTTACATGAGGCAGCCCATCAAACAGGAACTCATCTGTAAGTGGATTGAGCCCGAGCAATTGTCAAACCCCAAAAAGTCCTGCAACAAAACTTTCAGCACGATGCACGAGCTGGTGACTCATGTCACGGTGGAGCACGTTGGAGGACCCGAGCAGTCCAATCACATATGTTTCTGGGAAGAGTGTCCAAGAGAAGGGAAACCTTTCAAGGCCAAATATAAACTTGTAAATCACATCAGAGTCCACACAGGTGAAAAACCTTTCCCCTGCCCTTTCCCAGGCTGTGGCAAAGTGTTTGCCAGATCAGAGAATCTCAAAATACACAAAAGAACTCATACAGGTACAGTAACCTTCTCTGTAGCTTTTCTTTCTGCGAGTGAAAGCGCCGAGTGCTCGGGTGGGAGCGCGGGATGCAGGGCGTGGGGGTGTGGGGCCGTGGGGCTGCTTTGCTGAGGGTCGGGGCCGGGGGAATATGGTCCAGGGAGACTTATATTTCCTAAGAGGCAGGCTCCGAGCTCTGTTGCAAAATAAGCTCGGTCACTGCCACGCCAGCGGCAGCAACAAAAAGGAAATTATCCCTGACGAGGCTGAGGGGGAGAAAGGCAAAATTTGCTGCCGGAATTGTGAGGGCAGGGGGAAAAAAAATCACAGCAACCTGTCCTGTTAAATTTATAGGTTCTAATTAATTGTTCTTCGGCGGCGTTGTCTGTGGCAGGATGAGAAATTGTGCTAAATATTCCAGGCAGCTCATTCGCCTCCCCTCAGCAATTCAGGGATTAGTAAATATTTAATTCTGCGGAGCGATTCTAAACAAACCGAGCCCAACGCGTTCGTGTGTCGTTGTTGTGTGAAAGGCAGGCGCTGGGATCCCTGAGAACTTTTCGCAGGCGCAGGCGGTGGAAATGCAGCCCCTAGCTGGGAGAGCCCTCTCCCCCCACTCCCATCGCCGGCGAGCGGAAAGGCAGCGGCGCTTTCCGGAGCGGTCTCGCAGAGGGTTGGTGGGGCTGCCCTTGCATTGTATTCCCCGGCCGGATAATTTTCAATATTGCAAGAAAATACGGGGGAGGGGGCTGGGGTGTATGGGAGGGTAAAATATCACGAGAATGAGCTATAAAAATGGAAACTAGACACCGAGGATCGTGTGTAAATACCATCACGCCTGCTCTCTCGCTCTGAGCATTGCAAGGAGGGAGACGTGCCCAGGGCCGAGGCTGCAAAGGAAACTCTCCCCTCAATAAAAGGAAAAAAAAGTTATTTAGCCAAACCCCCTCCAAAACAGGCGCTGAGCAAGGGTCGGAGGCACGGAAGAGACAGAGAAGAGTAGAAAGATTTGGGGATTTGAGCCTTCTTCAACTTAGAAAGTTGCAAGTGTTTGAAATGGAGCCCAGGGCTTCGGTCCGGCAGTGCTATGGGGACAATAAGAGGTCCAGCCGGCCCTGCTTAATCAGATCCGTTTTCCCCTCTCCTTCCTTCTGCAATAGGTGAAAAACCATTTAAGTGTGAATTCGAGGGCTGTGACAGGCGCTTTGCAAACAGCAGCGACCGCAAAAAGCACATGCATGTGCACACTTCCGACAAGCCCTATCTCTGCAAAATGTGTGACAAGTCCTACACGCACCCCAGCTCCCTCAGAAAGCACATGAAGGTAAATGCAGGGCGCCGTATGTGCGGGGCCGCCGCCCCGGGCCCTGCGCGGGGACGCCCCGAGGGGGAAGGCGCGCAGGG